GCATCTTTCCTTTCACGACTATCTCAGGCAGCAGAAGGGCTTTGGCTACTGTACCTACGTGTCAAATAGCACTGCTGACATGAAAAGACAATAGACTGTAGCATGGGATGAAATGGGCTCTGAATGTGGTTTTGATCAGGTTTTTCTACAAGTACAATCAGTAAAGCATGTTCAAATCTAAATAGTCATATTTTAGGATGACATTTACTGTATGACTGTTGGAAGTGCAAGGAACCATAATGAGTCAAAATGTTGCCTTGCAGTCAGAGGAGCCACACTCAATTCTCCATGCTGGCAAGAAGAGCAGTGAGTCCCTCACTCCTTCTTCATAGTCGATTATAGACAATCATCCTTGAGGTTCAGCTTAGTGTCACATTTATCATTTATATTACTGCAAGCAATTACAGTGTACAGAAGTTGTTTGTTTTTATCATATCTGATTTGTGAGGTCACTTAAGCTTAACAGACAGCTTTGACAAATAGTACTGTTAGCAGATGAAGGTTAACTCCAGTGGGGGCACCTTCACTCTGCTGTGAACCATTTAATTAGGAAAACTGGATCAGACCGGGTGAACAACTGCTGCAACGAATACTCCATCTCTCCTTTTGTGTGGACCATACACAGGTGGTTCAGGGGTTTCCTGGTTTGGCTTCGTTAACTGTTTCATACCCTCATAGTGCAAAAATATCCAAATGTTGGGTGTATTGATGTTCTGGGAAACAGAGACACTTTGGAAGTTAACTTAATGGGAATGAATGATGGGTAAAAAACGCTCCGAGTGCACAAAGGGCAGTGTGACCCAGAGGACGATACAGCAGAGTATTTGAATGTTGCCAAAAGCACTAAAAGTTAAAGTAAGAAGGATGGTTGAACATGCAAGAGCCCAGCAATGAAAGCAATGAAAAGTAGGCCTCTCAGCTCTTCTGTGACAAAATAATCACAACCCAGAGGCTGGCCTCAGGGGAAAGCACTGAAAATGCAAGAAGGTGGAATATGCTGTTGTTGCCATTGAGGAAAATTAGGTTTGGATATATTTGATGGACCTTCACAACATGCAGGACTCTTCTGTGTTGAGGCGAACTGAATAGTTTCTCCACACCGGTGGAAACACGACTCCATGGCTAGACGCACCTGAGCCACAGGTGTTGAGCTACTGTATAGCTAGCGTTAGCTCACAGCTAGCAACTGCGTGATCAACGTGCAGACAGAAATACAATGATGATGACGATCATGTACAGTTATCATACTAAGTGACGTCGCTCAGTGACGTTTGTTAATTGGATGAATGAATGAATTTCGAAAAAAAAAAAAAAAAAAAAGGACATGACGTTCTTAACGAATACAATTTTATACAATGAAGTGAAAGGTGATTATTAGGACGTTGACTTTACTAACTCCTTGTTTAAAGGACGCGTAGCCGTGTTAGTGTCGCTGAGGAGCGGACTGCTCTTCAGCTGTCAACGGCTGAGGCTAGCTGGCTAGCTTAGTGTGCTAAACTGACGTCTGTACCAACTGTAGCCACAAGTAGACACTTTAACGAGTTAGACGCCTTGTTGCTTTTGCTGCTGTGTGCACGTCTCTACGTGTCGCTGCCTTTCCGTAACACACAGTCATTCAAAGTGAAACATCAACGTTTCTGTCGCTGTCAGCGTGAAGTAAACAGACAGCTGACTGTGTCCGTTTGACAGATAGCTTTAGCATGATGCTAGCCAGCTGAGGCGGCCAGCTGTAACGCACCGACACAGATCTATGAGCTGCGCGCGGCTGTTGGCGTTTACTTTGACAAATATTGCACACTGAGTCTTAAAAAAATGTACCTGTAATATGAAAGCAGGCCATTGCTGAGGACAAACCACCGCCGCTGGTATCCTTTCAAATAGTTGGTCCATTTAAAAAGCCAGCCTTTGTAAGTATCCGACCCTGGTGCCGGGGCCGCGGCAGAGGCGGATGCCGAGCCCTTCCCTTGCTCGCTCATCCTCCGCCGAAGGATGCAGGATGAACCGGGGACAGGGACACTACCCCACTGGGACAACGACCCGGGCGAGGACGTCGGCACTCACGGATGCGCTGGGTCAGCTCTAGGGCGAGAGGAACCACCGTGAACCCCTTTCACATGACGCCGGAATGGACACCAAAGGAAGGAGAAGTGATGCCAAGACACTTTGCTGATGCAGACTGCAGAGGATTCAGAGCACAGAGCTGGACTGGATAGAAAGGAAATTCCCCTACATTGCCTCCATATAATCTGATAAGGCTGTCACTAAATCAACAATGATTTCTATGTCGACAGCGCCAAACAGTTCACGGCAGTAATTTAGGAGTGAGTGGCTGCTGACCTGGCCATTCATGAAGTGTGGATATGAATGGAAACTGCCGCTCTATCAACTCAAGTCTATGGTTCAGACCTGCACCACGTGACGCTGTTATCCAAACATTCCTAAACATTTGACATGCGGTTTGGCTGGTGATTTGATTCACACATGGTACTTGTCAGGTCACAGGTGAGTTGATAGATGTAGGACGCTGAAATGTTATAACGCACATGGCCAATTTACAATCATCATCGTATCATCATTTATTAGGGTCAGATAATGAGTTTTATGATCAGTGGCACATAACAACCCTCCCACAGACACACACACACGTGCTGTTCAGTGGGATCCATGTCTTGGTTTCCCACGAGGTTGGATTATCACGCAGGAAACTGGCCCGGTGCGCCAGACCCCCCTGGTGCTCCAAATGCTCCAGGACCAATGTTGATTTATCTTGGGTAGTAAGTCTGTATTATTACTTAATTAATCCTAACACTACATTTGAAATAAAAAATGCTAAGAACATCAGTATTTCAGTTTATTTTGTGCTTGCATGGGGCATATTACCAAATAAAATTGTTTAATCAAAATGACCACAAACTGACTGGCATTTGGAGGCGACGGGGCACAATGCACAGGGCCGTAGATACGGGTTAAGAAGATTGATAATGGCCCAATAACAATGTGTTTGTCTAGACTCCATGGCAGGTTAATGTGGCCATGCTACCCACAGGAGAGGGGAGATTATGCCAAGAACTTCAATCAGGCAACACATGCAGTAAGGTACCATGGACAGTGCTAAGATAATTACTCAATTAATTAATCTGTTTATATAGTATATTATTGACTGTTATTATCCCTCTGCCACTGTAAACGATGAGTAGATTAGTTATTACAGATGACAGGGATTAGAGATCCCCAGATGATCATCTTGTGTTGTTGAGTACAACCAACAATGCATTTTAAACAAAAATCGAATGGGATGCTTGCTCGGTGTCTGCCTGTGATTTGGCTCCTGATAACATCGCTTTACCACATGGTGGCAATGTTGTCCAAATGATCTCAATGTGATGTAATTGTAGTACAGGATTGTAAAGTGACCAGAGTGAGGTTGCTGTTCTCAAATGCATTTAATATATTTAAAAAAGTAAACAGGATTACTCACAGTACCAACACAGTAAAAATAAATACAAGTAATATTTCTGATAAAAAACGGTAGCCCTTTTTATTTGGAAACGCACACACAGACAAACTGATAAGAACTCATGCTACACACAGTTGCTGCTACATACTGTACTTTTTTTTTTTTTTGACTCAAAAAAAAATAAAACAACACCGCCATCTGCCCTGATTGAAGGGTTCAACACTCCATCTCGGAGAGAATCATGAGCTTGTGCTATCACATGCCAGTGAAAAACAACCACATTCACTCCACGCAGCTGCTCATTACAGAGCCGGAAAACCATGTATTACAAAAATTAAACACAATATCAAATATTCACATCAGTGCAATTAAACCCTGACCCGTTGGCTCTACCAAAAAAAGCATGCAAGTCAACAACTCCATGAACCACTCTTATATACAATAGGTCTGCTTACGTTCAATGCAGCCCTGTTCACAAACTAACTGGGCCTAATCATATGAATAAGCAACTGTTAATCTCACAACATTACCAATTACATACTATTCAGATACTGACATGAAAGCTTTATTCAGGTCCCTGTGTCTGTGATGCACTCGTCGGGTGTTTTATGTAAGTCATTAAGCTCTGCCTCCGTATTTCTGCAGGATGTCTGGGAGTGGATTACATCTAGTATATGCGAGGCATTTTTAATATAATATGGTCGTACATATAATCAGTCAGGACGTCACTGTGAGATTTTATTGTTCCTTCCTAATCCAGTTTGTACATCGATCTCTTATCTTGCAGTGTCTGTCCTTTGCTTGCCTGAATGTTAGCTATCAAACCTGCCTCCCTCTCTCTCTCTCTCTCTCTCTCCCTCCCCCTCTCTCCCTCTCTCTCCCTCTCCCTCCCCCTCTCTCCCTCTCTCTCCCTCCCTCTCTCTCTCTCCCTCCCTCTCTCGCTTGCACACAGGAATACACACACACATATAAACATCGACATTGCGTGCACAGGTTCTCTTTTCAGGCTCTGCAGCCTCCTGCAGGTCGCCAGTTCCCTGGATTTAATGTATTCATCAGAAACAGACACTGAGTGAGGGGAGGGAACAGACTAAAGCCCCACTGTACGTACATCAAGATAGGGACTGCAGCATTTTCTGCTGCAAGACAACCTTAAAACAATTCTTTGCCTGAACAAACAGCTTTCACCGTAGGCCAAGTTTGAAATGGGGGACAGGGAAAGAAAAATAAATGCATGCTACTTTTCAGAATCTAAAATCAAACACCATCTAATCATAACTGTACACTGTGGGATAATCCCCCCGGAAGTGATACATTAGCTATTTTTTGCTCTGGATTATTCTTATTATTTTGCTTACCATTGACAAAGAAAATCCAAATAAGTCAGATATGAGCGTCTGCTGTTGACCTTACTGAATATTACAAATTCAAAAGGAAGACTCAATGATATTGCTGCTTCTTCGTTTTGAGCCTTACAAACACAGCCTCCGCCCTGTCAGGCCCAGCTACAGCCACGATACAACCCTCAAGAAGACCTGTGTAATTTGGGAAGCACAGCCTCAAATGAGTAACTGTCTTGATGTGAGGAAAAATGACTGTGCTATGTTAGTTGTACTGTTTTCCACTGCTTTCTCTACTACCTCCTTCCTTGCATTTACACATTTGGCAGAATCGGGCTAGGAAGTGGTTGGATGACCATGTGAGAAATGTAAGTGTCTTTTACAGCGCAAGAGACTAATAAACCTCATTATGAAAAATCAGCTCAGTAAAGCAGGAGGCCACAGGGTATTTTTCCAGCCATTTAGATAAGAAGTCTTTTTATTCTCCATTGCCGCTTCCACTCCTGAGGTGAGAGGGGTGGAGAGAGCTCTCTGGGTCACATGATGGTGCAGCGATTCCTCTGTAGCGCCCCCTGCAGACGGATGGCGGTGTGGTTCTGCCGCATGCCCCGTGTCACGGCGATGCCCAGCAGCTCTTTGAAGAGCAGTACTACATGCCAGTTAAACTTGGCAGAGCACTCCACATAGCCACACTTCCAGGTCTTCTTCACCAGGACTGACACCGCCCTGCGAGGCATGAATCGCTGTCGCTGTAGATCTCTCTTGTTGCCCACCACCAGGATTGGCACCTCACTGCTGCTGCCTTCCCTGCGGGAGCATGTGAGAGGTAAATAAATAGAGGTTGATTTCAAAAAGCATTGTTATGATTTTGGTGTTCGTCACAGTGGTTGGCTGGGCATGTGTTAGATGTCTGTGTGCAGTTGTTTCCTTCCTTCTGAGGTGTGCGGGGGCGGACTGGAGGATTAGAGCTCACAGGCTCAAGGGGCCTCACACCGCACGCTGCAGCAACTGCTTCACAGCATTATGAATTGTGAAAATGTATGGCAAGCCAGATGTAGAAATACATTCGTGACTTTAACCGTGTATATGTTATGCTACAGTGTTAATGAAAAACAACAACATCTGGGAGGACGTCATCAAGTCCAACTGTTTTCAGAAGCCTGATTGGTGGTTGTTTGGACATGCGAGCTGACGCTACATTGAAAAAGGAGAGAACATTTACTACAGCAATGTAGAAACAAAGGAGCTGCCAGAGGGAATCCTGGATTAGATTGTAGAGCAAATACCTTGTAAGAAAGAAGGCTCACTAATCAGATTTCTTACAATGAATTGATTTTTACTTCGGCTTTCTGTTTGGTTGAGTGCCAAAGTCAGCAAAGCTGCGACCTTTAATGATTGTTTTTTCATTGTTATGCATATTTGCAAGTCTGCCTTTACAGATGGACAGATAGCTCGACCGACAGGAAAGACACAGAGAGACAATGTACAATGCAATGTTTAAGCCCATGAGTTGAAGATGTAGGGTTGAAGAACACATCATAGTAATCATCTCACTTTACTCCTTTTCACAGGTTGTGCTCACGTAACAGACTTAAAAATATCTCCTCGCATATCTTTCGAGAATTTTAGCAGAACGAGATGTACTGTATCTGTGTGAGTGTTCCTGCATGCTGCTGTGTGTGAAATTTGGGGGAAACTATGCAGGAGAGACCCGTAGTCTTCACTGAGCTGAAGGAAGGCTTCATGCTAGGGGCTAAAAAAAATATAGGAAGAATGAAAATAAATTCTTTATAATTGACATCTACAGTACAGCCACCCTGTGCTGTATCAGCATCCATTATTCATAATTTCAGTTTATATAGAGTATCTGTCCCTTCTCTGCTCTTGCCTTTCCTTCCGTAGTCTGGCTTTGGAGCTTTGTCCTGTGATTACACGTTTCTCTTGTTTTTCATTCACCCTTCCTTCCCCAGCTGCTGGTGATAATGTTTTTTTTTTGCCATAGCCCGTACATACACACCACCACGGCAACACATTTGCAGCAACAGGAAGGTGGGGAGATCTCTGGTTCTTAAGCTTCCAGTCTTTTGCTGCTGTGCACTGTCCAACGGAAGCAGAACGTTCTCTTAAAATAATCGTAGGAATCGTGAGTGACATCTCAGGCATCTCTCATGCAGCAATGCCAGAATCAAATGTCATGACTAACTGTCAGGATGCAGAGAAGAGTGTGCTGAATTAAAATGTCTCACCAAAAGCAGACCATCTATCACTGTCACACTGTCACAAACACATAATTGTACATCTTTGTGACAGGGCTGTGAAATTACATGGTGTCTCCAGACGGATGACAAGTGGATGTCATTAGACATCACCAGTGAGGGTTAACCAGCTGTATGTTGTTTTGTTGTATGTTCGGTAACAGTCTGGCCAGCTGAGTGCGAGCAGTTGACCGTACCTGTGCTCCACTATTTGCTGTCGGATCATCTTGACGTATTCAAAGCTCTCCACGCAGCAGATGTCATACACCAGGATGTAGGCGTTGGCGTTGCGAACACCTCTGCAGCGCAAATCCAGCCACTCCTACCACACAGACACAGAGAGAAAAGAAAACACACACATACAGTAAGACCTAGAGATGTTTGTTGTTCAAGTTTAAGTCGGTCCAGCACTCTGGTCCAGATTGAAATATGTTGTCAATAAATACTGGATAGATTGCTGATTCCCTGACTTTTCGTCCAGCGCCACCGTGAGATGAACACTTCTCATTTTTTGTGGGAAATGTCTTGACAAGTATCGGATAGATCACCTTGAAATTTGATACACACATTTTTGTCCCCTTCAGGACGAATTCTATTAACTTGCTGATCCTCTGACTTTTACTCTACTGTCACCATCGGGTCAAAAATGTAATTTTGTCCAACACTTTGGCTTATGACCAAATACCTGCAAAACTAAAGACATTCCCATAACCTGAGCTGTACTCTTTGTTTAGTGCTAATCAGTAAATTTTAGCATAACAAGCTAAACTGAGATTATGAATATTGTAAATATTGCATTTACTTTACATTTAGTTCAGTTTATTTGACACAATGAGCATGTTAAGATGCTGATGTTACCACTTAGCTGAATGCACTGCTGTGCCTAACTACAACCTCATAGATCCGCCAGCGTATAACGCACCGACTTATTGAATACAATAACAGTAGAGAGCAGCTAGCGGAACAGCATGTGGCAAGTGTTTCTGTAATTATTAAACGCAAGGTCGCCTGCCTCTGCTGCTTAGCCTCTGTGAGAGAGTGCAGAGAGTCAATGAAGTCTTGGAGCTGGCATGGCTCTGGGAGTCCCACGGCCAAGAACAAAGTCATAAAACATGGTGACCGCCCGGCACTGCACAGTTTCCTAGCTACACATGTTCAAGGACATGACTTTACAGCTATTAAGAGATAAGTGAACACGAAGCCTTCTGTCAGGAGAAGGAAAACGAACTCGTACTGTTCAACTGCTTGGTGATGCAGTGGGCACGCAGCAATGTTTGAGGGTAATGAGTTTCAACCTGTCGTTAAATCACATGGCACAAGTGGTTACATTTGCACCTTACTGGGGAACAGTTGCTTCGACAGAAACACAGTGACCCATTCTTCTATTCACGCTGTGTCTCTCAGAGCTCTCACCAACCCACCACCAGCCTCACTGCCTGTAACAGCATGCAATGAATTCATAAGCATTTGATCTGATAAAAGAGGGGGAGGAAAATGGAAGAACTTCAGGGGGTGGGAAGAAAAGTTCTGCCGAGGGAATGAGAAAACAAACGCAGCCCTGAGAAAATGTCGAAAAAAGATGAAGATTAAGGCTCTGGGACTGTTCTATTCACAATTAAATTCAAACAGGCAAACAGTAGATACAGTGAGAATGGTTTCAGGCCAGCACCTCTACCGTTAGGCCGGTCAGATCACTAATCCATACTCTCAACTGCAACATATAACCCCAATTGGGATAAAAGCTCAACCCACCACAAAGACTGTTAAGACATGGCCTGAAGGAGCTTCCTCACAGCTGCAGGGTTTTTTAAAGTATCAGCAGGGAAATCTTTTGAGGATCGGGGCTTAGAGGAAAACACATAAACTATACTCTCTTACATACAGAACTGTGTTGACAATGTTACCACCGACAAATGCATCTGTGTGTTCCCCAATCAGAGGCCCTGGATGACAGCGGAGGTCTTCAGGTCTGGAAACAGAGCTCTATACAGTGCTGCTGGAGCCAAGCTGAAGAGAAGCATCAAGGATGCTAAAGTGAGAGGAAGATTGAGGACCTCTTCAGCAATAACGACCCAAGGCTGTGGCAGGGCATCCAGCACCATCACCGACTACAAGACCGGCAACCGCACGGTGAGGCCTCACTGGCACACGACTTTCCCAACCCTACTTTCTGACCAACCGCCCCAAGACTGTTAGACTAGGCCTTCACCTCTCCTCCACCCTTACACTCATCAGCACCAGCTCCCAACAAGTCTGTGTGATGAGCCCCATCCTCCACGCCATCTCTACACTCATGACTGTGCCCCCACTCATTCCATCAACACCAGCATCAATTTCACTGACGACACAACTACGGTTGGGCTTATCTCAGGAGGAGACAGGACAGCCTACAGAGATGAAGTCCAAAGACAGCGGGGTGATCACAGAGCAATCTCATCCTGAACTCCTCAAAAACAGAAGAAACCCAACACACTTTACATCAACGGCGACAGTGTGGAAAGGATCCCTGATTTCAGGTTCCGGGGTACGCACATCGATGATGATCTCTCCTGGTTTACCAACAGCAGTAGTCAAGAAGGAACAGCAGCAACTCCACTTGCTAAAGATCCTCAAGAAAACAAAACTGCCAGAGAAGCTGATGGAGTCCTCCTAGTGTGCTGGCGTACTGTATCACTGTGTAGTACGAGAGCCCTTCAGAGGGTCATCAATAATGCCCAGAAGATCATTGGCTGCTCACTGCCTTCTCTGGAGGACTTGGTCAGACTTTGCTCCTTGGTAGAGCAGCCAACTTAATAAAAGACCCATCCCACCCTGGATACCACCTGTTTTGATCCACTGCCCTCCGGTTGACAAATCACAGACAAACAGACTCAGAAACAGCTTCTACCCCAAAACCATGCAGGAACTCAACACTGTCAAACACTGAGCCGACTGTCTGCACTATCAGCACTTTACTTATTGCAGTTACAGACACATTTAAACTGCATTCCAACCTTTGTATGTTGGCCTGTATATTGTACACTGAACAAATGTTTATATTCGTCCTGCACCTTAGTATATTCCTTTCTACATATTTATTCCCGTATTTATTTATCACTTGCTAGTACAACTCAGCAAATGTGCAACAACCAGCAGTGCAATATCTCAACTGCCTCACTGTTTTAGTAGGTCACAGCAAATACATATTTTCTGTTTATATTATATGTTTTTATTTGTCTTCTTCACCAGCAGCCGGTTAGCTTAGCTTAGCATAAGCAGCTAGCCCGGCTCTGTCTCGGCTGGGAGCAGTGACTTGTCATCGCTGTGAAGTTGCCAAGCAACCATGCGGTAACTCCAGGAAGGCAATCGTCTAGTTCTCGGCAAGAAATCCGATGAGCGTATTCCACAAAATGTTGATCTATTCCTTTAACTTTGAAGTAGTTAGATTACCAGCATGTATCAGTTCCAAGTAGGTTTGTTTCACCGCATGACGTGTTTGTGTCTAACTACTGAATTATTTATAGAAAAAGATTTATTTTATATTCTCAGCACAATATATCAAAATATCTTTCTATCACACACATTAGATACAAAAATAATCCCACAATTGACCACTGCTGGAGCAGTTTGTTTTTCTTATGTTGTCAGGATTTTCAAAGCTGTCGTGCTTAGTAGAAAACTTGGCTTTGAGTTTTGTGACTGATGCACCTGGGCCTCGGACACAAAGGGATTTGGCCTCTTTGGAGCTCTGTTTTTTGCACTGTGTTACTTATCAAAGTGCTGATTATCAGACCTCTTTTGATTTTGATGATTCTAATTAGCATGGAAGTGGATGGAAGTGATTTTCCATGTGGTGTTTACATTATTTTTCTTCTACCTCCTGCAACAGCTTGCGCAGACTAAAATAGGAATGCAGGAAACCTATTTACATTGATCTCGCTGGAGAAAATATGCTTTTCAAATCAACATACTGTACAAGCTGTCTGTACAAATGAGATTAGCCGATAATTTACGACGGGGGAGGCTAAGGGAGCAGGCGATGATCAGCGTAACTTCTAAAGATGATAATGCTGATACATCTGTGTCAGCTAGGAATAATTCAGATGAGGGTGTTTGTGGGTTTGTGTCTGGAGGAGTGTGAGGAAGAAACAGCCTCACACATTAGAAGAGAGATAAGGAGGCCGATCAGGCATGGAGGCAAACATGTGGCACAAAGATCAGAAAGAGAGGAAGTAAGGGGGCACTGCGTTGTGAAAACTGGTATAAATGTGATTATTGTCTCTGTCCCTCTACATGTTGAATCGGTTGTCAGAGAGAGAGGGAAAACATGTCCCAGAAGCAACGTCTTCAACTGGAATTTCTTCTTTTTGCTTCTATTGTAGAGTATCCCATACAATTTAAAGTCATATCAAGCACCTCAAAATATTCACCTATTTTTGCCAAACACACAAGTTCCCGTCATACCAAGCATATCATCACAGCTCACTCTTTTGATGATGTGAGATGAACACAGTGGCTTGAGTTGCGGCCTCACATCACCGTGATGCTAAAAATAGCAGCTTGTGTTCTCATCTCATATCTCTTTGTCATCCAAGTCCTGTTTTTAAATGTGGAGGAGTGGCTAGAAATGGTAACACTACTTCTCTGCATCCAAACAATAGGCAAAACAAAGAAAATGTGAACTGAGAGGACAAAGCAGTGCAGCTAATAATCAGATGAATTTAAAATGCATGTGTGGGCATGTTTATTTGTGTGTGCTTGCAGGATGTGCGAGTGTGCTTGTGGAAGCGTGAATGTGAAGTGTGTTGCCACGCTGTCTGTATCCTCCAGTCGGTCTTCTTAGCGCAGCGCACAAAAAGAGCATCTCATCCTTCAGCTCCTCAAGAGCCAAACACAACATGTTTCCCTGACAACCGCAGGCCTCGGTCAGTTTCTAGCAGGCTATGGCAAACTTGTTGTGTCTCCTGATATTAGGCGACGCAGCTTAACGATAATGAGTAGTTGTGATGGATCGATAGTAAAGCACGGGAGAGAGGCCGGGGTGACCTTTTGGGGGAAGGGTGCTGAGCACTTAGAGATATGTCACATGCAGGCCACCCTGGCAGATTTGCAATTAAAATTCATTAGATTCCCTGGAGATGAAACTCCCATTACTCAGTGGTGACCTATGCCAGGCCATTAAAATCTGTAGGTTTTGTTGTTCTTTTGATCAATGCACTTTGTTGGAGAGGATGACTGTTGCTGTATGTTAACATACAGAATCCCAAAATGTTAGGCTACTGATAAAAGCAATCAAGTACGGCTAATCTTTGGAAATATAGTCATGAATTGTTGATTTTGAAACCGGCACTAACAAGGATTTTACACAAGTTGAGACAGCTTTAAAGGAATGATATGACACTTTCTCAAATAGCCGAAGCTTTTTCGCTTAGTTTGAGCAGAGCCTGACTAGAAGATGGATACCACTTTCATATTTCTACGGTAAGTGCGAAGCTACAGCAAGCAGTCGGTTAGCTTAGCATAGTTTAGCATAAAGACTGGAAACAGCTTACCTTGTTCTTTGCAAGAGATAACAAATTTACATGTCATGTTTTATTTGTTTGATCCTGTTTAATCCATCCAAAGAAAACTGTGAAAATAACTTTTGTGGTTTTACAGAAGGTTATGTGTCGGACTATTTCTAATACTAATACTAATTACTAATCAGTGATAATTATGGTTTATGTACGTAATAAAGAAAAAAAGATCAAATTAATTAGTGAGCGTTAGAGGTGCTTTTATGCTAATTTTGTTACCTTTGGACAGAGCAAAGCTACCTGTTTCACCCGTTTCCAGTCTTTATGCTAAGCTAACAATCCCCTGGCTGTAACACTCTACAACAAAGCAACTAAGTATATTTCCCAAAATGTTTAATCCTTTGAGGATGCTTGTATATAACAATGATGACTATACTCACTGAGCTGTACATTTTTTTGAACAATCTAAATGTCTCTATTCTAAGAACAGAGACTTATTAATTTCACTACAGTAAATTGTCTAATTTGTATCAGTGTATTGTATTATTTAAATGTTCAACTCATGCGAACAGAAACTTTGACACACAAAAACTAAAATGGTTTGTACACCTCATAGCTTCACAGACGCACACATCGTATTTGTCCTTCTTCTGCAAGAGTCAAAAATACGAATGTGACATAAAAAGCAATAATTTCCACCCTGTTGTCACAGGCAGCATCGACGGAGATAACTGAGAAAAATGTCCAGAAAGAGCAGGAAAGGGAGAGGGAGCATTTTGTGTGGGAGGAAGTCATGGAGATACATCATGGCTAGAACAAATAATTAAAGATGAGAACAAGAAAAATCATTGCTGGATCCGTTGTCAGGCTTAAATCCATCTGTCATCACATCCTATTCGCACACTGTGACAGATGCTCTCTAAAAGCAATGGTATCAGCAGTTGACAGACATACCGCAAAGCAAACAAACAAATCATTACACCATCACAGCCTCACAGTGAAAGAACAGAAATCTTGCCCGTCTCCAGCAGTGGAAAGGACAAAAATGGCTGTGTGCGTGGTTAAAATGGGGTCACACGCAGCCTGTGAGAACATCACTGCTCTTCTTTCAAATTGAATCTGAACTGATGAGAAATTGCCACGCTACATCAGCATGGAGGCGTACTGACTCACTCCATTCTGCAGCTTATTCCTCACAAATTTCAGAGGACATTATAAAACCTCATTTGGTAAACCTTACTTCCACGGTGTCCATTAAACTCTGTGCAACCTTTCTAATTGACTGCAGCAAATTCCTACTGTCTCCTCTGTTGGTTTTATATTCCCAGCAGTGTTCTAGCAGGAAACTTTCCTTATATTCAATTTGCTGTGTACTGCAAGTACATTTTCAATCAGCTTTCTTTGTGCTGGCCACTTCCCCTGACCCAGGTTATGTTTCTCTGCCCACAGGGGTGAATACAGAGCAGGGGTCCAAAAAAAGCCCCATGTCTCATCACTGCTCTCGCTGTAAATAAAGGACGTCGCCAGATGAAGCACGAGAGTGACGTCAGAACGAACAGGACATGATAGGAGGGGAGAGGAAAGAGTACAGCAGGCCTCGCGGGGTCGCTCCTCAACGAATGAGTAACCATAAATCTGTCTGGTAGAAATGTTGTGGCAGCTCTCAGCTAATGGTTTTCTCTGCCTGAACAGTATGGGCCTGGCAAACAGGCGGCTGCTCGCTGCACTACACCCTGAAATGAGCATGACTTGTTCACACAGCATGGTATTGAATGATGAAAGCTGTGTGACTCAAACTTTGGGCCTCACACTCCCACACAAACTCGTCAGACTCATCCTGTCTTCTTTCTGCTCACCTACCAACCTGTTCCCCCGATGGAGGTTAAGCACCATTTAGCAGGAGAAAGAAGAAACTCAATCAGAATGTCTTTACAGAGAGTCTCTGTGGGCAAGAAACAATGAAGCACTCCTGCAGACACTCCCTAACAAAATGTTAAATCCAGCAACATGTAATTCTGCAGCAGCCTGACAGGATGATCGTTCTGGACTCTCAGCCCGCCTGCCTGACGCTTTCTACGACAAAACTTGGCTTTGTGAGCGTGCAGCACACCAACTTTGGGAGGCTTGTCATTCAAGTTGCTTTTTTTGTCTTCTCCTTGGCCTGATCGCATTTTCCCACTGGCACCTCATCTGTAGATAAGCAGCTATATTTGGGAGGGCTATGTGTGACACAAAAGGGGTGAGAAGCAGCAGCAGAGTGGAGAGCATCAGGGCCTTTCCACAGAGGCTGCAATGGACAGGAGTCAAACAAACACCTCAAGGGAATAGAGGCTTGGAGTGGGCTTAATACCCAAGGACACCAAATCCATACTCTTTGTACTGAAATATCTTAAAGGATAGGATAAAAAAAATGTCTGTCTTAAAACCATACTCACATGCACATATGTATAATGAAACAGGTTTTGGCTGTTGAAAGTGTTCCCTCTTTAAATACTGGCTGTGAAGAGATCCATTCCTACAGCAATTGCAATGCACGAGATGGAGCTAATGTGAGGGTTCAGCAGTCTGAGTTAATCAAATCCAGTCAAGATACATGAAATTCAACCTTTGCATTCTACACCTTAGGAGCATTGTGCTGCTGTGAAGAAGCCTAGGGAATAACTTAGGGTTCAGTGTCTTATGTACACTCATGTGGACCTGGGAATGAACCGCCAACCTTTCAATTAACGGACAACTCCCTTTATCCCATGAGCCACAACCGCCCCAAAGTGACAACCTTTTTGGAAGCAAATTCCCTCTTTGTATTTCCTCAACGTTTCATCGCTGAGTTGCAATGCAGGCACATTTCTGATGAAAAAAATAGTAATACTTTAGAAGACAAACAATCAATAAGACAAACTCGAACACTGTTGAGGCATCATACTATCTTATGAGGACAGTGGATTTGTCCCCCATTATTGACATTGATGGTGCTTTGGAAGGGGTTCTTTTCAAGGCCAATATTGACACAAAAATCAATTACAGCATCCAATAATGATTTTACGATACGATAAAATATACTTGATTGTCATCGATCTGCGTCAAGTGCAGTACATAGAGAATGAAATTTATGTTTCTTCCTGGTGCAAAACAAAAATAATAAATGATGCAACACTCAGTGGCAGTTTAATTTGAATGTACATATGAGCATTTGTGTATTGGTTTAAGACAGACTTGAGCAATTGTGAGCCTCTCCTTCAAATTAAAAACAAAACTTCCAGGGACAAAAGCTTGAGAGAATTCCTCAATGTCCCCAATCCTTGGCGATGAAGAAGAGTAGAAGTGACTTGAAACCTGAGGCATTTGGAGCTACAGAACATTTATGCTATGATCAGATGCGCCTCCAACTAATGGCAGATGACCTGCGGCCATGAACAAAAGGGCAGTCTGTTCTATTTTTATATTGGGAGTTTAACCAGGTGCTGTGATGCCTGCAGCACAATCCTGCTATTGTTTTCTGTGTGTATTAGCACGATTCAACCCAACAGCCACCACCAACAGCTTCATACTACTCTCAACTCATCTGAATATATATCTGGCACTGAAGACATGAAGACAATAAACAATTTCCAAGCTGACATGCCTCCTTGTGAGGGGGGTTGAGAGAGAGAGTTTACGCCAAAGTGAAGCCCTCCAAGGCATTAAATCAGTCGGGTCTCCATAGCAACTAGTAGACTAGGGACACCTGATAGAGGAATAAATAAAATTGGTGTTTCTGCCTTTGAGGATCACCATTGGCTGTGAACAGATGGGATATTAAGTAGAGATGTAATACCCTAGTTCTGAGGATGGATCCCCAAAGCTTGTATGAATCCTTCCCCAATAAAGTTCAATCTAGGTCCTCAGACAGACGCACTATACCTGACTGGAGCTGGATGGAAAGGAGGAGATTGGCGGGACGTCCAAAATCTTCAGCTCATACATGTTCCCGTTCAGGATGACGGAGGGTCTGTACACATATCTGGTCCTGGTCGGCGTGTACACCTCCGAGAAATCGTTATAGATGAACTGGCGGATTATAGAAGTTTTCCCCACTCCGGGAGCACCGATGACTGCGATACTCAGCGTCTCCACCATTCCTGGAGCACGAGTTCAGCACCATGGACAGCGACGACAAAACAACGACAGATGTGACCGTCCGGAAACACAGCTGGCCGCCGCTGTTGTGATGCTGCTGCTCCGATGGAATTCAACCCACCGCTGCCCCCTCCACTCCCCTGTCTTTAACCAGCAGCCGCCAACAAATCACAAAACTGGGTTCACCTGCGTGCGATTAAAGGAACCAGTGGCCGAATAGATCACCCACACGTCGAGCAGAGCGACAGAAACTTTATTTCCGGGCTGAGGGAGACAAGAAAGAAGCCAAGCAGCTTGAAGGTTGTCAAAAATAAAGCTCAACCGTGATCACGCAGATGGAGGGATTTTTGCTGCCTCAGCAATCTAACACGGAGAGGAAAAACTCTTGGTTTGCAGGCGACATCTCCAGGCGACCCCTTCTCCCGCGAGGAAGCGTAAAAGTCGGTCCTTGTTGTCCCCGCATGGACATAATCTCATCCAGGCTAGACTCCGACCTTGCCCAAACGCACGGGAGCCCTCTGTGTCTTCATTGATTATCTCCTCTGCACCTCTCACTCATTTCCACCGATGCACCACCGCCGCGCTCCTCCATCACAGGGAGGACGGGCGCACCGCCGCCAGCCTGGCAAATAAGCTCCCCACGTGTTCTGGAATCGCACACAACCCCATAATCTTCTTTTTAGTCGGAGACAGAAAGATAGATTCACATCTGCGTGATTCACATGCGAAGAGGCAATCCACACAGCCTGCAGACGTGCGTTTTCGGTAAAGGCATCTGGAGCCTATTAACGAGCACTGTGTGTGTGAGAGTGTGTGTGTGTGTGCCGTTGGAGAGATTGGTGAAGACTGTCCTCTCTCTCTCTCTCTCTCTGCCCCTCATTTGCAATATCCCCTGCCCCGCTCATCCAATAGGATTATGTCGTGCGCAAAGCGTGTAAAAGCTTCGAGCTCCCATACGCTACAAAATAATGGCAAAGGAGTAGGACGTCCACTATACATCACCTCAATGTGAGGGTCGTGGAGGAGTGGCGCAAGACTGCACATCATATCTCCGAGTGGCACGACTTATAAGTGTCCATCAATCACTGCTGGACGGCGGCAGCACAAATCAACTCAGTGACAAGTGTGAGGAATAAACATTATACCGTTTGTGGCCCCTCAGAATAACTTGTAACCTCGGCCGGTGGTTTCCAATGCGGCACTACATAAGAAACCGTTTACAGAGGGTTTCGGGTGCTTGGGACTATACGTGTTTATCAAGGCTGGATTTCCAATCAGACAAAGCGATCAATTGTCCCACAGGGGCCATAAAAGCCCACAAATGGGGCAAGTGGTAGTTTTATCAATTGCAATTACTTGCCGCTATAAGGCCCTAAGTCCCTGTGCTGTGGAGGGGCTTTGTGTCAAAACCAACCCGTTCTCACTTCCAATGCGTCAAATACCGCAGCTTGGTCGTTGCTCCTCGGTGTCTGACACGGAAGCAAGGAGGCACTCTTTTGCTTCTGAATGCGACGCCCATGAGAAACTGACATAGTATGTGCGAGACGGGACGGACGGGAGGGCTGGTGGATGGGTCAAACAAGCTGATGTGCTCAAAACACAGTTTTAATCATTTCATCATCTCCATTGATTTTAAGTGTACATGGTTGATATTTTTAAAGAAATTCGTGTTTACTCATGTTAGCGCAAAGTAGGCATGAGGACAGGTAGGACACCGTTTGGTTTCCAAGAATAGAGTAAATTAATTAGGGGCCCGGTGGCTAAAAGGGGCCCACAGGGATTTTGCCCCACGACCCTACAGAAGGTTAAACCTGGAGTTTATTCTTTGTGTTTGGTAATAATGCGGTTTTAAATGCTGTAAATTGTGTCCTCCCTGATGAATTAAAGAACCATCTAAAGCAAAGCGAGTGTCCTGCTGCAGGAGGATAAACACTAGCCGAAAAAAATGTTTCACAACCTGGCAGCCCAGAAGTTGTTTGGATTAGATAAGAACTCATCTGTAAAACGTTGGTGAATGACTCATTAACTATTAATACAGCAATTAGTTAAATGTATAAACTCTTTGTAAGTCTATAATAGTCCCTTCATACAAACTGAGCCTTTACACCCGAAAGCAATGCAGTGATGCCCCCTACTGGCATGCACTCATCACATGAATGACCTATAATATCGATCCTTTATTAGTAGAACAGACTTGTCACCGCTTTGGACTACCGACTCCTCTCTGGTTAGAGCAGAGCTGACCTTTAGTGTTGACAGAGGAACCGATCAGATTCGAGAGGTGTTCGTGTTCACTTTAGGTGATGCAGTTAGAAATCCTAGTTAAGCTTTCTACGAGCAGCTCGGGCCTTAAAAACCCCGTCAACTGCTCCACCCGGCTGTGGATAAACCTCAGACTTCACTCACGACTCAAGGTTGAACAACACTGAGAGACTTTGTATGCAAAGCTGTGAGGGCTGCCAATTGTGTAACACTGGAGCAGAAGCTGAGCAGCCCATGAGAGCAGACGCCTCAAAGGTCATCAATGATTATAAAGCAGTGAGAGAAAACAATGCACGCTGGCTACCAGGGACTTGGGGAATGTGGACTTTACCACGCAAATTAAACTGAGGTAACATTCTGCATCCTGCGACACTGGGACTTTGGCACCGGCAGACTGTGCCATAAAAAGGAAATTGTCCTTGCACTGCATTTCATTCATGTCAAACACTGAAGACTGTGATGTGAATTTATCAAGACTTTTAATAGTTCTTTTTGATGTACACACAATGAACAAAATCATGTCAATCAAAATATGATTAAACATCAGATTCTTTTATTTCTTTTACAGCATTGTAAATGAATCAGCCGTCACCACACACAAAGACACGCTCAGGATACACAGCCACCTCTGTTGTAATCTTAACAAGCCGTTAGCGTGGGCGCATACATCCTGTAGAGCCGATAAAAAGGGCTTCTGTGTAATGACTCGGAAAAAAGAATCCAATTAATCTGGTCAAGTCTGCAGGTAGAACAGGGACACTGTGCTACCTACATGTATACTTATTACTCAGAAGTGTTACAAACCATGGCATCGAATGTTTAGAGTTATCTCACATGAGCCTTCATCTCAGGTGGCATGGTACTGGAGAGGCTGCGAGGGGGGGGGGCGGCAGCAAATCAAAAATCCTCAACACCTGAGGCTCTCTCTCAGCGTGCCAACAAGTCCACACATACACACACACACACACACACACACACACACAAATCAAACCATGGAATGACTAATGAAGAGTGCAGGCAGTGGAGGACTGCTGCTCGTCTCTAAAATGTCCAGATGTTGATGGAAAAATTAATGAGCGGCACACCAACAAACAGCTTCCATGCACACAGCCTGCTCTCAGGACAGCAGAAGATCCACAGACACTAAAGAAAACTAGGAAATGACAAAGAGGACAATAATGTAGTTTGTAAGTATCTATGAGTCTTTTCTACGGGCCAAACAGCCACTTCACACAGGGGGAAGGAAAGTTAAAGCCTTTTTTACTTGAAAGTACCCTAAATAAATATGCAGACAGTGATGATTCACCTGCTGATTGCCGATTTGAAGAGAAGTGGGGAGAGAAGTGGGGAGAGAAGTGGGGCTTGATAATGATTAAAAAGCCTCACGCAGGAAAAAAAATAAAAAATAAACAGTCACGGGAATACAGCAGTCTGTCCCGGAAAGAATACCGGCCATCACAGAGTGGACCGACAATGTGAAAGTGATCATTCAGAAAATATATACGATAATGTCCTGGAACTGAATCTTTTTGTATCAGAAACATAGAAAGAGGAGACAGGATATGGAAAACCAGGATAATGAACCAGGACTTTCTGCAGTCTTGGGAAAGAAAAACAACCAGCGATGAGCGCCAACGCAGCAGGAAGTGGCAGTTGCACTGCATTAGGTTGCAACAATATGGTCCTTGGGTGAGGAGGGGGAAGCGAGAGAAGGTGCCAGGAGTCTGAGGGCAGCGGCCGAGTCGGTGTGGGGAGGCTTTCAGTTCTTCAGCACCGCCTCGTAGTTCTGGAACACACACTGGGAAACCTCTGGAGCTCTGCACTTCAGGGAGATCTGAGGGACACAAGAGATGGACAGGGTTGAACATGACTTTACTGTTAAAATGAAAAGGTTTGTAAAGACGCAGGTTTCATAAATGTTCACTGTTTGATATTCAGTGCACAAGTTACATTCAGGAACAAGACAAAATTAATTATTTTTCCAGGTAAAAATATCTTAATTAAAACCCTTCTTAATTCATTCTCATCAGACTCAGACAGACACAAACACAAACACAGGAGAGAGAAAAGAGGCAGCCTCTCCACTCTTTGATGCTGGTCTCAGCTGGGAGCCGGTTTAGGATTTGATAGTCTTTCTCCCCCCCCCCACACAGTGTGGTTGCCCCACAACAACCACACTGCAGATGATATTTCATCAGATCCAGAAACACAAGACAGCTGGAGCTTTGGAATAATTATGAGGACAGATAGTCATGGCGTGGCACGTATTAATACATACAGGAGACAGTGATTCTGAATATTTAAAAATGTTTAATTAATTGCTGCATAATCAAAACCAGCTGTGCTTTCTCCTAGGACAAATGGAGCCTTTAATAACCCACATCGCTGTGCAGCATTCGTCTAGCACACACACACACACACACACACACACACACAAAGAGAGAGAGACAGACAGAGAGAGACACACGCACACAGAGCAGCCTGGCCTCTTACTCACTGTTGTTCTTTCAGCTTTCATCATCGTCATTTCTTAGAATCACATTTGTTCCAGTGGGAAGTAGTTTGGGGGGGGATCAAAGTGCAAGTTTGCTAAAGATAGAAAGTGCAGAACCGCTACAACTGGTTTACAGTTACAAACAACGCAGAAAGAGAAGAAACAACAATACTTAAGTATTGTTGTTTCTTACAATAAGAAACAACTGCCTGTCAGTTTGAGTGCTAAAAGTATTGTTAGGGACTGTCTGTCCTTTACTAGCCAGCAGACAACGGAAAGATGAGGAACGACATGCAACAAAGGTGTCCAGCTGGACTCCAACCAGATCAACGCCAGGATTTAACGGCATTTTCCTATGTAATATATTCAGTAATCCCCCTTTAGCACGACCTCATCACAATTCAAGGCAGTGCTAAAAAAAAGCCCTGTTTTTAAGCCCTCATATGTCAGTCGTTTTTTTACTGTAGCGTACAGTGTCTACATTATCGTGAGAACACTACACATTTTCCCTTTGAGACACTATTATGAGTACTATCTGAGCTCTGGTGAGTGACTGACAACAGGTCTACAGAAGGCCCATCATTGACTCAATGGACACCAGGATCTACAAAGGTGAGTGTGTGTGTGTGTGTGAGAGTGTGAGTGTGAGTGTGTGTGTGAGATAGCACAGAGCTGCAGTGGAATAAAGCAGTGGTGCGGCACAGCTCCTTAAGTGTTGCCTTCGCACACTCGGGGCTCTTTACTAATGCATGCAGCTGCTGGCAACATTTAGGCCGGGCTCTCCTGTCAGCGTGGGGTAAGAGATGTGAGGAGATGCGGATGCTCTAGCCGCCGAGTAGAAACCGCTATTTAGAGACAGAAACTCTGCGGCACTCATGAGTTCATCTTACTGCGAAAATAAATATTAGAATCATATTAGGCAAGAAAGGAACAAACTGATAATGGAGGAGGGTGTAATCAGAGTGTAAACTCTCTGCTTATGTAGACGGTTAGGAGACTGTTTGTGTGTAGGGCGCCACTCTGGAGTCCATTTCTTTGTTGAAGCCGACTTTGACGGCTCAAGAGGTGGAAAGAGACATCAGCGGTCACATAGTTGCCATGGGGAAAGGACACCGTGCGTCACGTCAAAACGATAAGCTGGCGTCACAATAAAAACTATGAAGTATACATGAGCGCCGATGGAAGTCAGTCACAGGGAATTCGAGAGCTGCTGACACTCAACTGTGGAAACTTAAAGCTGCTTTTATCAATAATTTAGCAGCGAGCTACCGAACGAGGTCGCTCGTGATGCTGGACCCTCAGACATCAGAGGAAGCTTGAGACCCACACGGGTGAGCTGAATCAAATGCTACTGTACGTTTCAACTCGCAACAAATGACAATTCTTTTTACGTCTCGTCTACAGAAGCACAATAAATAAAACCCAGAAGGAGAAAACAAGGCAGCAGTGGGGCTTTGCTTCTCCCGGTCTAAAAATAGCTGTTGACAAAAGGCTTCATTCAGCAGCTTGGCTTTAATGTGCCAAGAGAGCGCAGGGACCGTGCAGCAGCCAGAGAACGAGAGACGAGCGTCAGAAAACACTGTACATGCAGCACGGGGAACTTCAAAATCTGGTCTTCTCTTCACTTAACAATTTATGATCCATCCTCAAAAGGTAAGGGGCCTTTTTCCTGCCCTGCTGAGCATCCATTTACACTTAAAAATCTGAAAAAAGAAGCAACAAATAAAATGAAAGATGCACACCGCCTCTAGCTGAAAAGAAGTAAATGCTCTACAAATAATTTAGTAAAAATTTACTTTCACTTCAGCTATTAAATCTCAAGGAAATACTCCCAAAGTCGTATATCTCAACGTCTCATATACAAGGTTAGGCTACACAGTGACGTACCAACATCAGAAGGTGTGAACAGATATAATAACCTGGAGATTTAATGAGAGCTGGGTGACTGAATAAATTGACTCGTCTAGACTGGAGAAAACAAAAACAACAGGGAGTGCCACACCTATAAATAAAAACATGGAGTGGAAGCAGACGGAGTGATGAGCTGAGAGGAGTCGCATCAAGGTCACAGTTCTGGACGGTAGTCGTGGAGAATGTCTAAACCAAACACAATCCATCGAGAGCAGAGGCCGCGTCACGCTGACTAAGCAGAGACACGCAACAACACAAAGAAATACACACACAGCCAAGTCACAAATACTAGCACCACACAATCAACCAGCTCTCTGCCGACGAGTCTCCGTCACGCCTCTGCTGCGTCAGCCGTCTCCATCCGTGACGAGCGGTGATGACAGGACTTTGTAAACTCCGTCATGCTGACTTCATTCAGCTATTGAGGCTCTGATTTGTGCTGAAGTGCAGAATGGAAGCTCCTACACTGCATGTGTGGATGATGATGAGTGAAGACATTCTGGATCAAAGGTATTGCAGTAGTGGGTGGATGGTTTGGTGTATGCACACCGTGGTGCGTAGCCACCATCGTAACTGAAAACACACATCTTGGTTTGCTTTGTGATTGCAGCCAAGGCTCCAGATATGAAAGTGCACACTGGATTAAAAGGTAGTTTGAAAGATGGGATTTTTTTTTTTTTTACCTGTATGTAAATCGACTGATCACATTTCAAGCATAGATAAGAACGTCTTGTGAAAAGGACTTATTCCAACTTCTTAAATTATTCTTTTTTTAGATGTTAGTATCGTCTACCCCCAACCCTTTTTAAAATGTAATAAAACACTAAAGGTCGTCTCTCACCAGCCATTTCTTTTGGTGGTAAAAAGTAAGAGACAGCAGCAAGAGCACAACAGTGATATGACTTCAGCTAACACAACGGGACCAGTGCTCACCGTGTAGTTTGGGTTTCCTGTCTGCACCCTCAGCTCAGCCAGCACCCAGATGCCATTGGTGAGCTTCATGGACTGATACAGCATGTCCTGACCCTCCACTGTACGCTTGGCTATAGTGAAGATGTTGCTACTCTGCAGTTTGTTGGACGCTGCATCTGTTTGTAGGAACATAATCAGAAATTAACACAGTGCAGTAAAAATGTTAATCGTTTCTGTACTTACACCGTTTTAACTATCTGAACAAGCCATCGCTCATTTGTAGTGTTCAGTTTCAGTCATCAAACAATCATTAAATGTTAAACGATGCAGCATTTCTTCTTCTTTCTTTATCACCCCGGGCTATCCCCGCGGCAAAGATACAGTCACTACTTCAAAATCAACTTTTCTCCTCAGCCTCTGTCTCGCTGCTGCTTCCCAGTAGGACGTGAAACCCTCCGTCTTTGTTCATGAAGAAGAAATATAATCTGTGGGGGGGGGGGGGAGAACCTCCATTAAGCCGTCATTAGGAATTCTTTTTCCAGTTCAGCTGCTCTCACGCTTGTGAAAAACTAAGTTATCGCCCGTAAATGGGAGACTGCATTTGATGAGTTCTCATCAAATGCAATTCACTCCATTAGTGAGGATTTGAGACGGCCACTATGTCGACTATCAGGCTATTTCAACACACAGAGAAGCAGCAGGATATGGCCGCACTGTGGTGCCCTCTCTGCTCTCCGTCCATCGTTCTCACCTGAGTTGAGATGGCAGTCTTTGATCTGAAACTGGGCCTCGTTGTCATTAGGAATGTCTTTCCATGTGGCGAGGAACACCTGTCGCTCTGCGGACAAGGAGACACAATCACCGGATGAGTCCAAGGACAGAGCACGCACTGAAATGTGCACAATTAGAGGTTTGATGTAAATGTACACACAAAAATGTCGAGTGAGTGAGAAAACCATCTTCTCCAAAGTTTGTCACACGCAAACCAGACTCTGTTACACAGAAATATGTTAACAGTGTTTTGTTTGTGGCCGCTTATGTAGGAACATTATCTCTGTTTTATGACAAACTGTTACCGGATAAAAAACAACAATATTCTGGGGAAGCTGTGCTCACCAGAGAACACAGATAATAACTAAATGTCTGTATCGACACTGTCACACTACAGTTACATCGCAGTGACACCAAATATAAAAACTCTGGGTCTGGAACACCAACAAAGTCTCTCGCTTATTATAACCAATGATATCGTTAGTGAGGTTACGGTTTACATGCAGTTGATTCAGACTAAGATGTGTACTTATTAATTATTATGGGCTTTAATGTCGGCCATGGTGTAAGGCATTTATCAGCCTTTTATGATTCATGTTACATGTTCCGTTTCTTTGTTTAGTTAAATATAGATGATGCCGGTAATTGTGCATTTTGTCTCTGTAATTAACTGTGAAGTTCATTTTGCAGTAAAATACTCTTCATTTCATTCACATAGGGGTATACAAAAACAGGCTTTACCATGTGGCTATTTCATGTTGACTATTTATTTATTCATTCATTTTAATTACCATAAAACATGCTATATCGTGATTTATATAGTTATCGAGATATGAAATGCCCCAACGCGCACACGCACACACGCATCCTCGCTGAATGACTGACGTGCGTACACGTGCGGCACCGACGTCAGCGGGGATTTGAGGCTTTTGTGTGAAGACGTTAGCTGAGAGACACTCACCCATCTTCCCGTCCTCCACAAACAGCATGCTGATGGGGTACTGGCAGCTGAAGTAGAATACGTCAATGTTGTTCTTAACGGCCACCTGCGAGAGTGATTACATCCAAGGAGGAGGTAGAGGAGGGGGAACAAGAAGCAGTACATGGGTAATTAGTTTTCAAGTGCCCTTCAGGGATGGACATTGTTGGTGTATGTGTGCCGTTTACTGAACAAGAGGGCTGCAGTCCTCTGGGAATCTCACTCACACACACAGCCAATACTACACCATCAGTGTTCTGCACTGGCCTCCCATCATACTGTGTCTCACAGTTAGCATGAGGCTTTTATTTGCCAAAATATATCAAACACTACTTACAAGCTAATAGGGGTGTAACGGTTCGTGTATTTGTACCGAACCGTCAAGCAGCGCTCAGAATAAAGTCTGTAGATTGATGCATGTAATGTGGAGACAAAGTTTACAAGCGGAAAGTTCCACCTGAAAACGTACGCAACATATGCTGAGGTCAGCACAACAAGCATGCGAGTCAGTCGTGCAAAAGCACATTCGACAGCATCACCCAGATGTGCTGATCACCTACAAGCTAAATATTTAAAAAATAAGTATTTCTACAAACAGCCTTCAGGAAGTGCTTCACTAGAGGAATGAAATAAATGTGGAAATATAAGGTGGTTAATGAAAACAAAATACCAAAAATAGGAAGATGAAGACACAAAGACGACAGACAAGAGAAAACTAAAATAGCACCTAACAGCAGGTCTATATTTAAACAAAATAATGAATTTGTTAACCCAAGTCCCTCAGACAGGATCTTTCACAGGCTTTAGGCCCTGGTGGCAAAAGTACAAGACACTGAAACATGAGAACAACTGAGGTATGAAGGAGGCACCTGAAGTAACAAGGGTGATATTGATCAGGCTGCTCACAGAGAAGCGTTGTTTGGGGGACAATGAATTGGACGAGCGCTGAAGAATGACTTGTGAATAATTCATTAGAGCATCTTATTCCTGCAATGCAGGACTGACAGGAACACTCAAACAATTCAAAGCTTAATTCTGTACGTTTGGAAACTAAAAGCACTTTATTATGAGCTATCTTTAAGTCAGACTATTATGACTACTGCATGACTCTTGACATATTATTATATAAAAATAGGTGTTGTCGAGTTAATAAACAACTCGTTCTGAGAACAATTCTCTGGAGTTTTTAAGCGGTAATGTCGCCAGAGAAACATCAGCATTGTGTAAACCTGTTTGGCTTTTCATGCAGCCAAAGTGACTAAAGAACTTCCTTAAAATGTGGAGGATTTCATTGTCTGAGACCATCAGTGGTTACAAACAGCAGTCAGAATATTCTGGAAAAGTATCTTCCATCAAGACAAACCCTCTCAAAAATAAAATATCTAAAGATAATGTTACCCATCAGTGCCCATTAAAGTCGGGCCCGGAGGCAGCAGAGCGGAAAGGTGAGCGGGCCTATTGAGGCCAGGAGAACAAAGGAGCCATAATGACCCCCCCCCCCCCACCATCCCCCTCGTCACTCTTATCTTCTCTCTCCAGCTGCACACAGCGGCCGTCCTCAATTCTGCTCGGTTAAAAGAACCGCGCTGATCAAACACAAGCCCGCCTCTCACGCTCTTTCTACTGACAACCCACAACCGTTCTGATGGCTGTTTCATGTTTTAATTCTGTTTTATTCACAACACGGGAATTCAACCATATAGCTGAACAACAGTGAGGACACATTACTAATCACTTAAGACACATGGTTATATGTTCTAAAGAGATATAGTCAGGTCCATGAATATCTCAACCATGAAGCATTTTGATGTTTTAGTTTTGTAAACTTAAGAAATATAAAGAGAAATGACGTAGAAGTTGAAATTATGCCAACTATAATTAGGAATCTGACAGACTGAGAAAAATAAGGTTTTTATTTCATTTAAAAAAAAAAAAAATGAGGTTAACCGACTATTGGTTTTACTGACATTCAGTATTTTTACGATAATCAGAATAGTTTTTTTTTTGTTTCGTTTGTGCCAAATTTGAAGAAATTCCTTCAAGTTGTTCCTGAGATACCACGTTCACGAGAATGGAACGTATGGACGTACAACCCAAAAACATTTCGCCTCAGGCCGTATGAGTGGAGGC